AAAAAATCCCCTTGTTGGAAGCTAACTTGTACAACTTAAGCTGACAAAGTGACATCTGTGTTATGTGCATCTTTTAATACTCAAATGAATCCCTGTGGGCTGCAAACAGTGACTCTGGAACTTTTATACTATTTAATAAAAATGTTGAGAGTGCATGTTCCTTTGAAAGAATTTAGAGAAGATTTTTTATTGAGGCATTTTAATTCAAAATTCTAATAAAAACCAATCTAACATTTACAATCAGATTTCTCAAATATGTTTATCAAATCATGAATATTTTATATTATCACCAAAAATGAATGCAGAGCTATACAAATATATCCCAATAAAATCACTTTAAATTTTAAGGTGTCAGTGGATTTCTGCGATTAAAAATGGACTTGAAAAGAAAATAAGCAAATATCTGAATGCTAATGCAGTTCTGCCTATGTAATACACACAATTTATGTGATTTATATTTTAATAAAAATAAGGTGTCTGACAATGCATATTGCTCTCTTTAAATGTAATGTAAATCCCCTTCAAACAACTGTGTAACTCTTGAAAATATTTCCACTTGCTTTCTGAATATATGTATCAAATAACTAGGAATGCTAATTGCCTACATTTGTGACAGTCTTCTTAGTACGTTAATTTTCTGCTTGTGCAGACAACATTGTACTAATTTAATAATCTAGCGAAATGCATGTAAAACATGATCTGTTATAAAATGAAGAACTAATTGTTATACAGATTGCACATCTAAAATCTGGGATTCTCTGCTCTGGCAACATCCAGGATCAGAGAGTCCCAGGGTAATGCAGGGCGGTGGGGACTTGGCAGCCAGCGCGTGGCTCAGATGGGCTACGCGAGAAGGGGAGGTGGAAGTCAGCGCTCCGCTCATCTGGGCTGCAAGGAAAAAAAGGGCCACTCTTAACGAATACTTCCATTATAGTTCAATACTATGTTAAATATTTATTTTGAAAAAAAAGATCAAGGGTCAAGTTATTCAATCCTTAATGCAGAATATTTTTACAAGGACAATGAATTTAAAATTAGATTTTCTTTGCTATTATTAAAAAAGTTTTAAACATATATTGGGAAAAAATTACACTGAAATAAGAGGCACAAGCATATGAAACAGTAGTAGCACTACAGACTCAAATCCATTATTGTACAGTCACTAGTCAAATTTTCCACAGTGGATTTAAAGAAAAACATTGTACCAAATCTCATTAACCCAAACCAATGGGTTAGCCACTGATACACTTTAGAATATACACTCATTATGTCTGACCCAATGTGGGTGATCAAAACGCTTTCTACAGCATTCATGTATCAACTCAATTTAATACATTTGTTTTGTAAAAGGTTTTAAAAAAATATTGACTTCTGTAAGTCAACAAATGCTACATCACTTCTTAGGTTAGGCCTATTAAACTTAAAAATGCTTGGCAGTGAATCAGGTTTGATTAAAATGTTATATTGCACTTGACAACTAAAAATCTAGGAATTAAGTACCAGAAAGTTCAGATCCCACTGAAGTCAATAGGAATGGTGAGAGTTCAGCATCTCCCAGGATTAGACCCTAAAAGGAACAAAAGTCTGCATTTCTTTGTGGCAGGAGTACACAGTACACAAAACTTGTTTTTCAGCCCTCGTGGCAATAAGTGAAAGAAGCCCATGGCGAGAAGGTCAGAGCACAGTTGTAGAGCTGCCACACACCCATTCATTCTGGGTTACCATTTTCCTATTTCATAACCTCAATCCTTTTTCATTCACAGACAACTGCACAGTACAAGGGGCCCCACTGAAGTAAATGGAAAGTTTCCCGTTTATTTGACAGGACTTTGGAACAGGCCTTACTCTGCAGTCAAGACAGAGTTGACTAGATTTTCTACAGGCTAATGCTACTGTCTGACATGATTTGGTAGTGCTCAGTAGTGAAACCCCATGGAGCTCTCTGGAAGGAGCACTGGCCCTGCAACAAGAAGTCATACAATTTGAATCTTTCTCCTATTCCCTGACCCCAAATGGTTAACATTCCTTTTAACCCCTCTGAAATATTAGCTGACACTCCTAAGAAAACTTCTTTAATGCATTTTTTGCTGTGTAAAGCTCTACACATTCATAGCTACATATTACTAAAGTGAACATAACAAAAGCACCAACAATCCCCTCGTTTCAGCTAAAATACTTTCAAAAGATACATATGAGAATTCATTTGAACAAGTTTACAAGCAGTTGGACACAATTTTAGGAAAAACAGATACTAAGATCTAGGTTTGGATTTAAATCTTAGCTAAACGTAAAGAAATATAAAAATGTTTAGTAAAGAAAGGAAATACTGTAGCAGACTTTCTGAAAAGTAACGAAAGCACCAACATTGTTTAGTCAATCATAAATTTAAAGGATAGTACTACAAGTCTAATATAGACATATGTGAACATTACCAAAATATTTTGACTTGATAGGAGTATCGAAAGCTTGAGTTCCCACTTGGGCTTAACAGCAATATATATACTACTGAACTTTAAATAGTGTTTCTTGAAAGACAAAGGCTATATCCTGATACCTCATAAATCTTGTCAGTGGTAGCAGATAAGAGTTTTATTGTGAAATGTGTACTAACATTTCAAAAAACACCATGAAAATAATGCAATAATGTAAGTTGGAGTAGTTACATAAAATCGTAAAAAGATCTGGATTTTGTAAATTGCCCTCTTAGGCTAAATCATTTCACAAGTTGTTACTTCATATACCTAACTTTGGACTTAGGAGTTTCTCTCAAAAAAGAACTAAGTAAGCTATCTGTCATTTGTATTTTATACACAGCACTTGATTCTGGAATATTCATTGCATAGAAAAATATCACTTTTTTTATAAAAAGTTAAATTTGGTGACACTATAAAAACATTTGCTATAAGAATAGAAGTAGCACTTGTAGGTGACTACCAAAACTACTGTGACAGTAGAAAATATACATTCTATAATCATCTTATTGCCAAGCATAGATTGTAAAAACAAAAACCTAAATTTGGGAAAGCAGCACTGTTCAAAATATCCCTTAAGCATGTGCTTAAATTTAAGCATGTGCGCTATCCTGAAATTGGCCGTGTGGATAGTTGTATCCATGATATAATCTGTACACTGCAGCTATGTTACTGTTTTCTATCAGTGAAACTGGAGATTAGTGAATATACATGCTACTCTTTAGTAGAATATAAGAAATATAAATAATTTCATATCTTACTTTATGTAACTTAGTACACATAGAAGTTTCTATAGTTATAGGAGTTGTGCCAAAATTATACCTTTGTACCCTAAATGCAAAAAAATTATATGCTTTCATGACTGTAAAAAAGGGAGTTGTTAATACTCATGTTAATAGGGTTGTCTTACCCCTTCCAGATGAGCTGATAAGAGTTAGCTTTCCCACACTTTTGTCTGTCTGTCCATAATGGCCTGAGTCCTATGCTCACTCTTGGATGGGTGAGCAGTCCACCTCATTTCACATCAGTGTAACTACTCACATGCTTCAACAACACACGTGTTTGCAGAATACGAACCATGGTCTTTCTGATGATATTCTCCTTGACCTCTAAGCTTAGCCTAAGCTAAATGGTCCAATTGTCCTTCCCTGTGCAAGTTTTCCCACATTTCAACGGAAATCAGGAGTGCATTATAACTGCAGGATCAAGCCTCAATTAACCAACTGAAACTGAATTTAACAAAAGGCTTTCATCCCTGTCTCATCTTAAGACACATACAAAAAGGTTATCTAGAACGAGTTATTCTGCATCAAGGAGTCAGTGTCCCAGGCCTGGGTCCATGGACTCGTGTTAGCAGGGTTTGCATTAGCACTCTCAAAATATCTGTGTAGATGGGTGAGGCTAGAACTCGGGTTCTGAAATCCATGTGGGGCGGCATGGGCTTGAAAGTCCAAGTTCCAGACAAAGAGGCAACATCAAAGCAACATCTTTTTTTAGGGTTGTCACACTAGGGCAATTCCGTGAACCCGGATTGGGAGGTATGACTCCAGATGCAATGCAGACATGCCCGTATGGCTTGGGTTCTGATCCCTCCCTGTATGTTTACACTATCAATATCATAAAATTCAAGGCTGTAGGTAAAATCCACTCCTCCAGCCTATATCTGTCTATTATAAACTAAATTTCACTTAAACAGCTGTCTAAAACAATATGTAAATGGCTAAAAAAACCAAGCTGCCCAATATACAAATTAATCCCTTATTAACCTTGGACCTTCTCAGGAATAGCTCAGATACAATCGTGATTCAGCTAAGAAGAATGCAATGAAGAGTGAAAATCAGTCCTGATTTTCCAAAAACCCAAAATGAAAGTCAAAACAAGTTATTAATTTCAGATTGCTTTTGCAGAAAATAGGTTCTCTGGTCATTTTGGTATTTACAGTGGAGATGTTGCCCCCAGAAATCTGGAATACACGCCAAAGTGTTCTGTCTTTGCTGTTGCTCTTAGAGCTTGTCAAACACAAAAGTTGCATCACATTGTGGATTCCGTTATTTCCACTCCCACAAAAACTCGTGATCTTATATATTTGTTAGTCTCTGAGATGCACCTTTGTTTTTAAAGTTACAGACTAACACAGCTACCCCTCTGAGACTTTCAACTATCCTGGTATAGTTGTGTAGCATAATACCACTAGTGTGGACACAGTTAAATATGGCATACAAGAATTTATACTGGTATAATTATTCCTCTTTTGGGAGGGGACTAAGCTATCCTTGTAGGAACCTTTATACTGATATAACAACATCCATACCAGGAGTTGTACCAGTGTTACTATATTGTGTAAAAAATACAGACCAAGGGCTTGTTTTCACTATGTGGTGAATTGACGCTGCAGTGATCAATCCACTGGTGGTTGTTTTATTGTGTCTGCTTAGACACAATAAATTCATCCCCAAGCACTCTGTCAACTCCAGTATTCCACCAGGATGAGAAGAGTAACCTGAGTCGATGGGAGAGCATCCCCCACCAACCATACTGCACAGAAGACACTGTGGTAAGTATGCTGACTTCAGCTACCCTATTTGCATAGCTGAAGTTGAGTAAATTAGATCGACTGGGGGATGGAGTGTTAGTGTTAACAAGGCCTGTGGAGCACCATCTATGAAATCAAGAGGAGGAATGGGAGACGGGAAAAGAAATGGTCCAATCGAGGCAGCTGACCTCCAACTCCCTACAGAAAGGGAGACCAGCATGCAGAAGAGATGGCAAATGGGTATGATACCACTGAATATTCCTGTGTACACTTTTTTGGGGGAAATCAACAGCACAAAGTCTAAGGACAGAACAGCTTTGCAGTCAAGGTAGACTTGTTAAACAAGCCATCCTCATTTTGTGCATTTCCCCACTGAGAGCTTGAAAATTAAGTGTAGTGTCGGAATGTACACATCTAGCAACAGAAAACATACTAAATCTAGTAATTACCTATGGGAACTGCTGGTTTACACTGCTTACATGAAATCTAGATAGCAGTTTGTGCAACACTAGTTTGTGCATCAAAAGGACAGGGTGTCTCCTGAAATTAGTGCCAATATTTTGCTAATCTAAGTATCATGTACGTTTTTTACACCCAAATCAGTGCATATGCATTAGTCATACCTATTAACATGGTTAATACATGGGAAGAATTAAATATATTGCTCTCAATCTGTAGTTAAGGCTATTCCCAATGCCAAAAGACATCAGCCAGTAGTGCAGTCATGGAGTGTCTGTTCCTTAAAGGGGAAATCCAAACTGGTAACCAAGATGCTGGCATTTTTAAAGTTTCAGTATGTTACACGGATAAAACACTTTTTAAGCTTCCGACGTCCCTTCCCCATTTTCATGGGGTTGCAGCTGTTCTCTTTCTTGTTCTTCTTGAGGAGGCCGCACACGTTTGAAGAACCCCATCTGTAATTTGGAGAATCAGAAATGTATTTGGAAAGTAATGATCATGTCATCTACAAGTCTTTTCTCACTGATGGTGCACTTCAGAAACAACCTAACTGTTCAGTCACATGGGTTTCCTTCCCTACTCTCTCATTTCAGCTCATCCTCTAAAACCAGGAAATATTAACTGAAACAGGAAACAGAGCTGAACAACCTAGCCCTCCGACAAACACCAATCCTTATTGCAGCTCCTCCCCTTCTCAACAGCCTACGTTGAATATGTGGACTCTGCAGTTTACCCCAGCCCATAGATCAACATATTCAGACTGTTTAGGACTAAATTATTAGTGTCATTTGCAGTAACATATCAATTCCAGAACCCCTAAGTATAATACTTACTCTGTACATAACAAAGACTAGAACAGACAAGAGCAATAATCCTGCTAGGACCGCCAAAATTATAACCCACACTGGTACTGGCATGGGCTGTGGTTGAATGCCCCAGGTGATATTTGTGGTAACCTAATGAAAAACACAATGGATCACATCTTATTAGGCATGAATGAGTTTGTCCATATAGTTTGTGACATATGTATTTTGAATCTGTCATATTTAAATGCCTCCTAATTCACCATGAATGAGCATTTCCCTTGCATGAACTAGTACTTCAGTAAACTTATAGAGAATATATGATGGTATAAAAGCCTCATTAGCCCAAATTAGAAGTAGCTACATTATCCAGGTCTATGAAAGCCTTTGTCCCACACTAAACACATGTTCTATACACACTTGACATTAGGGATGTAAAATTTCAATTAACTGGCTAATTGAATAGTCGATAAGGGCACCTCCCCCTTTGAAGTGTAGCCAACGGGGGGCTCCACATGGCGCTGCTGCTTTGAAATGCTGCAGGGAGCCCAGCATCAGGCTCCACACGGCTTTTCAAGTGCTGCATGGAGCCCCGAGTCAGCAGGGGAGTCCCTAGCTGACCCTGGACTCCATGCAGCATTTCAAAGCAGCAGCAGCGTGTGGAGCCTGGGGTTTGGCCCCAGGCTCCATGTGGCACTGCCGCTTTGAAGCGCCTTCTCCTTCCCTCTCCCCCTATTGCCTCTTTCTGATAATGGTAGCAAGGGAGGGGGAAGCGACTAGTCGATTAGTGAGTTGACTATCCGATAAGCATTTGCTTATTGGTCGACTAGTCGACCACATCCCTACTTGACATTTTACAAAAGTATGGTGGCTCACAAATGTTTTCGAGTTTTTAAAGTGTTTTTGGCTCTTATTTTACTTTAAAGGTGGGCACCTCCTCAGTGCCAAGAATCAAACCTTATAGGGCTTCAAAGAAGAGGAAAAATGTAACTAATATATTTTTTAAAATCACATACTCTCTATAAAAATGTTCTCTTCCAAATCCCTCTATAAAGATTTGTCTTTTCCATGCCTACAAAAATCTAGACAATGGTTAGAAAGCTAGTATGCTGAGAGCACTGTCAGTCATGATGTCCACAGCTGTCTCAGAGTTTTTCCTCCTCCTCTTTGTAGCCATCTATTGTCTACTGCCTTACACTTGGATTGTTAAACTGTTTAGAGCAGAGCTCATCTTTTTCTGCATTTGTACACTCTCTAGTGTAACAGAGTTCTGGTCCTTCACTGGGGCTCTTCAGCATTACTGCAGTTGTAACAGTAGTAGTAATATCATATTTTTAAAATTCCACCCATGAAGCCTAAAATACTTAAGATTTCTACCATTCCTGATTTGTTTGGGTTTTTTTGCACCAGTTTGGTCATAAAATATTGGACTTTTCACCTGTCATTGGCCCAGGACTTAACACTGTCCATTCTGTGGATCAGGCAAATGTAACAGGTGTGGGTGAGAAGGAGGAGATGAGAATATTTCTCTGGAAGAGCCAAAGGGACGGGAGGGAACCACCCCAAACTGGCACAATAAATGTTGGAAAATTTCTCTAAGATTTGGAATATCAGAAGCAATTCCAGCACACATGTCTCCAGAAATGTCCGTAAAACATGTTTGGCAATACTAACATGGTGGCATCACTAAATCACATTTCCCAATAAAGGTACAAATATAATCCTGAACATCAGAACAAGTTTTATAGGCTCTTTTTGTGATTCAGGGCTTTCAATATGGAGACTGATTTCTATTTATTAACCAGGTCTATTTGCACAACGTATTGAAGGTGAAAATCTACATGTCAACTGCTAGAATTCTAGTTTTCAGATTGAAAATGTTAATTTTATAGGTGTAAATAATTCTAATATATAAAAGAGTTAGTTAAAATTTAGCAGCATTATGAAGGAGAAATGATGTACCACATTTTGATCCTTCTATTTCTTGTATAAATTTTAGCTGAATGGGCACTGGGTTAAACAATGTTCAGACATAAATTTACTTACTACTGTAGAATTGTGGATATCTTCAAATGAAAGGTTTTTGTAAGGGAACTCTATAACATTGAATGAGGCTGATGACTTGAGTGAATACGAATGATTCTGGTTTTCTTTCTGTGGAAAAAAAAGGGGGGGATATTTTATGCCAGATGTAAAAATGTGTTTTCATGTTTCAAAAGCTGGGTGAGATTGTGAATTATCAATAGGTACTCACATTCATAAAGGTCTGGGTCCAAAGGCGGGATTTTACATACAATATTGCACTCTTGCCCCTCTCCAGGCGGCCAACTTGACAGACTATTTTTAAACAGTCAGCAGTTCCACAGCCCTACATGTGACAAGAAGAACAGTTACCTTAGTAATGAATATTCATTACTTGTGCACATTTAGTCTTAAAGGCACTAATGACGTTACATCAATTTCTACACAGTAGGTAATTTCTATAATCAAACATGCAATAGAAACTCCATAAATCACTCAAGTGACAGGGAAACCCACTGCAAAAATTATAGAATTTTGCAATCAACAAACTCTATTGATTTAACCTAATCGTAAGACCCCTTTGTACCATGATTAGAAACATCTGATGGTAATTCCAGGGTATATATTACAGATATATACATAAGTTCTGATCAACACATATCTTACTTTTACTGAATATTGGAGTTTGTGATCAGGTGTGAATTAGAAATGTTACATATTTCTACAAAATGTGGTACATTGTATCCATGCATTCTCAGTTATAGATTTTCATAGCATTGTATTTTGGTCGGATGTCACAAACTTGTAATGTTATTATTAGAGAAGACTGTGCACCAGGTAAAAAGGCCAAATTCCATTATTTAAAATAAATGCCCTTAAACAAGAATCACAAATCTTTCCAGAATATAGGCTCCTCCAATCCCATAATGAAAAAATTATTTCAAATAGAAATTATTCCTCTTAATATGGTAACTGATTAAACTGCTTTACTACTCTCTTCATCCTAGGAACTGTGGAAGCTTTGGCTTCTTATTTTAATGTGTACCATATGCCAAATAACTGCACAGATCCAACCTAAGTGCCCTTCATATGCACGGCATGGAGGTTTTAAAGAAAGATTTATACCAAATACTCCTCCTGCTGTATCAGACATGGATGAAACATTCCGCTGCTGCAGGTTGACAAACTGGACAAAAGGCCTTCAGTAAGAGAGAATAACCTTGTGACTCTCTATACCCTAAAGGAGCATTCTGTAACCCCCATATTCCTCATCTATATATTCAACTGTGATATTTCAAATAAAGAATGCCATAGGAGGCAGGGGAAAGGTTATGATCTACTGAAAAAGACAGTTTTCTGTTCCATAGCAGGTGTTCTGTGAGATGTATTGTTCACGTCCATCCCACAATAGGTGTGTGTGCTTGCCACATGCTCTAGTGCTGGAAGTTTCTCCCTCAGCAATATCCACAGAGGAGCAGCTCTGGTGACCTCTGGAGTGGTGCCTTTATGTCCTGGTATAGCCATAGCTACAAACTTTCTCCACCCTTAGTTCCTTCTTGCCTGAAACTTCAACAGTGGGGAAGGAAGGCAGGTCATGGAATAGTCGTGAGCCACATAACTCACTGTCTTTTCTTCTTCCAATGCTTGCTCATGTCCCATTCCACATTAGGTGACTCCAAGCAATATCGCTGGAAGAAGGTAGCAGTTCATGGCCATGAAGATTGTAGCACAGCTCTGCCGAATTCAGTGTCAGCTCTAGCCTGCTGAGTGACGGCATACTGAAATTTGAACACATAAACCAAAGACCATGTTGCAGTTCTACAGATGCTCTGGATTAGTACATAGGCCACAAAGGCCATTGAGGATGTCTGAGTTCTGGTCAAATGGACCTTGCGAATTTCTGGTGGTGGGACCTTTACCAAATTGTAGCAGGTCCATATACAAGAAGGCTACGTCTAGATTGCATCCCTTCTTCGTAAAAGGGATGCAAATTAGACGTATCGCAATTGCTAATGAAGTGGGGATTTAAATCTCCCCTGTTTCATTAACATAAAAATGGCTGCCGCTTTTTTTCAGCTCGGAGCTTTGCCGGAAAAAAGCGCCAGTCTAGACGCGGATCTTTCGGAAAATAAAGCCTTTTCCGAAAGATCCCTTATCCCTTATTTTAGGGATTTTTAAGAAGGATAAGGGATCTTTCGGAAAAGGCTTTATTTTCCGAAAGATCCGCGTCTAGACTGGCGCTTTTTTCCGGCAAAGCTCCGAGCTGAAAAAAAGCGGCAGCCATTTTTATGCTAATGAAACGGGGGAGATCTAAATCCCCGCTTCATTAGCAATTGCGATACGTCTAATTTGCATCCCTTTTACGAAAAAGGGATGCAATTTAGACGTAGCCGAAGTGATCCAGTTAGAAATTCTCTGTGATGACACCAGAAGGCCGTTCATTCTTTCTGCCATGGTGACAAAGAGCTACATGGACTAGTGGAAGGGACAGTACTTTCCAAATAGAACACCAGAGCCCTTCTCATCTCCAGGATATGTAAATGCCTCTCCTCTGCCATGTTGTGCAGCTTAGGATGGAACACATGCAGAAAGAGGTCCTGGTTAATGTGAAAAGAGGACACCACCTTGGGCAGAAACTTTGGGTGGGAATGCAGCTAGTTTGCATCCCTTCTTCGCATTGTCTTGGTAAAAAAAAACATGTAGAGTGGTCCCATCATCAGGGCCTTCAATTCTTACATCTGTCTTGCTGAAATCACCACCCCCAGGTGTGACCTTCTAAGACAAGAAAGCAAGCAAGCAAGCAAGCAAGCAAGCAGGAGGACGGTGGTCTGAAGGGAAGCCCGGTAAGCCTGGAGAGACCCAGGTTAAGGTCCAACTGTGAGACAAGGTCCCAAAGCTACAGGTAGAGACTCTTGAGGCCCCTCAGAAACCTGTCATGTGGTGTCATGAGAAAAGACCGTCTGGCCTTGGATCATCTGGTGGAAAGCAGAGATGGCCACAAGGTGCACCTTGATGGAGGAAAGTGCCAGACTATTGTTCCTGAGTTACAATAAGTAGCCCAATATCTACTGCACATGAGAGTGTGAGTGAGAGATGCCCCACCCTGACACCCAGTGGGAGAACCTCATCCACTTGGCAAGGTAAGTGATTCTTGTGGAAGGCTTCTGCTTACCAGGAGAACCTGCTAGACCTCTTCTGAACAGGTACAGTCTTCCGGGTTCAGCCATGGACAAGCCATGCTGTAAGGTGAAGAAACTCCAGGCTGAGAGGCGTGATGCTGCAGCTGATAGCCCCTCTAGGTCCCCAGCACTGAGCAGTTGGGGTAGGATGGTTTCATAAACCCCATGGAACCCAGGGATACCATGCCAATGCCCACTGGCTCGGAGGCCATGTGGGGAGGCTTAGATGCTGATGCCTCCAATGATACTGCTTCTACTGGGGCTTGGCCTGTTGTCAGCAATTGTTGGTGCAAGCCAGAGATGGGGGTGAGCAGGTGCTGTCCGAACACCAGGAAGTGGGCAATCTTTGACCTCTTGGTGGTGGTAACCCAGCAATCTAAGCCTCACACTGGCCGAGTGGTGCCAGGACCTGGAGTTGGACCTGAGAACTGGAGAACACCTGACATCTAGAAGGACCCACTGGTTGGGAGGGATATCTCTATGATCATTGTTCACAGGAGGTCAAGCAGCAGCCGCAGTCCTATGAGCTATCTCTCAATCCACTCTGGGGTGAGATGAAGACTTGATGTAGCTCCTCCTGCTGATGGGTGCTATGACATTGCACCCCCTATTATTTACGGAAATATGCTGATGAATATGCATAACTGGAAGATGCTTAATGCAACATGCATCTTGTAACATACCATTAGAAAAGTTATAATCTGCTGAATGTGTGTGTTCTATTTGTGTTCATGCGTCATTCCTGCCTTTGAAGTTACAAATATGAAGTACAAGCTTGTTTACTAATCCAGATGTGCTGAGGGCTATTAGAGAAGCAGAGCGCAATGGTCTGGGAGAGGGGTGGAGCGGAACAGGCTGCAGGGTCACTCCTGCTCCTGCCGCTGTGGTGAATGCAGGAGGAGCAGTGACCCCTGCTGCTGCCCCATGCCAGGTTGCCTGACAAACCTCCAGCTCACGTTGCTCACAGGAGGGGGCTTGGAAAGGGGACAGGGGGGCACAGAGGAAGGGCAGGGGTAGGGCCTGTGCAGTGGAGGGTTGCCATATGCCCCATACCCACTAGGGATGGCCCTGGATGAAGGTGCATTTTGATCCTATACTTTTGTCCTCTCCCCACCAAGGTCTTACAGCAAGTAATCTTGGGATGTGTGTACTGGAGGCTCTGCACTGATGCTGGCCCCTTGAGCCTCTAGAGCTCCTAGAGGAACACCGACCACTTCTCCCAGGCAGATCCAACTCCTCCCCAAAGTCTAACAGGTTCATTTTACAGAAATGGGGAAGAAAATCACTGTCTATTTCCAGAGTCTCAGAGTTACAGGTTACTGGTTTACTACATGTATGTTACAGCAATGCCAAGGGGACCAAATCAGAGGCCTGATTTTTGTTAGGTGCTGTACAAACAGTAGGTGGACATGGTCCCTGTCCTAGCCAATTAAAAGCAGACAGAGATGACAGCAATAACATGTGGATACACAGGTTGATAGTTCCAAACCATTTAAACATTTCTTTAGAATTATCCTTCCTAAACAGTCTCCATGAATAGAGCCCTACATAGATACATAAATGTGTATCCACATCCAATCCATGACTTGCAAAAATTGTCTCTGGATATCTGCAGCTTTGCAGAGCTCTACATAATGTGGCTGGGCTCAGGCTCCAAGGCACACCATCTCCTGCTGCTGGAGTCAGTTTGGGAAGAGCTTTGGGGAGCTAGCAGAGAGACGCAGACCCTCCACCTGCCGTCAAGTCAGGCAGAAAGCCTTAGGCAGATGAAGGGTCCAGCTGGAATGCACTCTGGCCTGCTGAGGAGAAAGGGGGAGGGGTCAGACCCTGTGAAAAGTGGATGGGTGAGGCCCTTCCCTCACCTAAGTTCCCCCTAGCTGCCAGGGCTGGAGGAGCTGAAATACATCAGTGAATGAGCTACTGTAGAGCTTACCAAAGTATGTACATCTCCTTCAATGACAGTTGTATCTCTTCGATTTATATGGTGATCACGGTTATCCTCATATCCAATAGTTTCATTCTTCTCATCTGCTTTAGGAGCTGAAATCTAGGGTTACATGAAGAAAAAACAAATAATAAACCATATTTTTCACAACAACATTTATTCTAAAGGATGTTAGAATGCTTTGCAAACTAGCAAATATACAGGAATCACTCCCCAGGAGCAATCACCTCTGAGGTAGAACGTAACATTTTAACTGCAAAGAGCAATATTTTACCACAGTTTAGTACAGGAATGGGAAAACACTGTCACGTTTTATTGGAAATTCCAGGGAATTTTAAGAAGGCAAAAATAATTTTTAAAAAAGACGTTGGCTGGAACACCAGCAGGCTAATAGTGCAGGCAAATGTGCTTTGAAATATTTAAGAACTACTACTGAGAATTAGAATTAGAATGTGCAGAAATTGGGTTACAAACCAACAGCTAGCCAAATTTCTTTGACTGGGTCATTCAAATCTTTTGGCTTAATTGTTACTGCTATTTGTCTGTTCCAGAGAAAGTAAAAAAAAAAGTGATTTTGCAAATAGATTTATCAAAATCAGGGACAATTTTGTTGCTATGTCATTGCAACACAGACAGAACCAATTGCACAGCAAAATCATTTTTAAAAATGTAGCTTAGTAGTGGTTTTGCACTGACTTTCTGAGTGCAGGTGAACTTCAAGCAATGCAAAACTAGATCAAGAAAAAATACAAACTGACCTCACCTGAAAGATTTCACAGGACTTGGGCAAATCAAACCCTATGCACTGCACACAGCCCTACTCTAGAACTTTCAGGTATGTGCACCAGAATGAAATCTTCCCTGTTTCTCATCTCCATAAATCCCTTTGTCTCTGTCCTAGGTGAGGTCTGCAAATCTCCAAAATGTAGCATCATCTTCAAATTTAATTACCATACCATTCACTCCCTTCCCTAGAACATTAACAGATGTTTAATAAGACCTAACTCAGAGCCCTGCAGTTCTTGCCTCCCCACATTCAATACTTTGCCAGTTATAAGTGCATTTTTTTTTTACAGTTCCGTCAGTTCAATCACTAGAATGTTAAGTGATGTCATGGAAGTTTCCTGCTTAGAATGAGCTAAGAGTATATTCTTAAAGCTGTCAATAGAGCACTGTCAATTTAGGAAACTCATACTCAAGGGTCTCCACAACTCTTCTAAGGTATTTGAGTCTAAGAAACTTGTAGAAACAATGTATGTTACACTTATATGCACACATATCTGTCATTTAAGGAGGGTTTTGAAATAAGGTCATGTGAGTGGGGTACTATGGGCGTTAGCAATTCCTCCAATTTGGGAATTCTTTTCCTGGATTTCACACTCGAGACTTAAGGAACACTACACTATTCTTGGTTTCACAGCTGAAATACTAATTCATCCTTTTGAGGGACTTGAAACTACATATACTATATTTATATAGTATATTGAAATGACATGAGAAATATATATCATCATGTACTACACATAAAATATTTCTGTGGGACTCTAGGCCTCATCTAAAGTCTACTGAAATCAATTAGAAGACCTCCACAGATCTCACTGGGATTTAGTGGAGCTCCAGCAGCCCTGGTGGCCCTGGAGTGGCCGCAACCCCAGGGCAGCTGAAGCCCCAATGGTCGAGGGGCTGACCACCGAGCCAGGAGCCCAGTGGCAGAGAGAAGGCGAACCCTACTGCTAGGTCTGCTGATGGAACATGGGAGAGCCCAGGAAAGGGGCAAAATGGACCTCCCCTGGTCCAGCAAACTCCACTGGTCCAGCAAACTCCCTCGTTTGATACCAGTCAGGTCCTGAGAGTGCTGGACCAGGGAGGTCCAACCTGTAGTAATAAAAACAATAATGTAATATCTCCCTGTAAGCTCAAAAATACAAATATTACAAAACAATAAAACAACTATTGGAATGTTGCTGTTTAAATCCTAGGTTAAGTAACATTCCATTTGTATCCACCGATTTTAGTTATTATTTATTGTAGAATATTATGATTAATCAATGTGTTATATATATTCATTGTCTGTTAATTAGAGTTAATTTAAAGGACAGAAAAGTAAGAGACTAATAAATGTTTAGAGGAACCAGGTATTAGATATAGGCAAGACACGCAGAAATAAAAGAATCTGTAGGCTGAGGTCCTCAAGAATTTAGCTTAGCTATTTTAGGCCTTGGAGAGAAGAAAAGATGACATAAGTGACTGGAAAATAACCCGATGTCCTAATATTATAGGAAAAGAGCTACAAAGTGGTGATACTGCACAAAATTACCCAGAAGATTAATATTAGATCATAAAAATACTGTAAAGGTGCACCTGTCCCTGACATGCATCTTAACCCCAGAATACTAACTGTGCGACAAACTAATGAATATAGAGAAACCTTACACTACCTATAGCAAATCTGTGTTCCTTAAGTTTCCGGGGAGATACAGACCAATAAGATTAAGGAGGGTTAACAAGTCTATGGACATGCGTAGAATGGAAGTACAGACAGAATCACATTATAAAAAGAGGATACCCAGAACAGGAAAACTGAGCTCCCTATGGAAGACTCCAGCAGGAACCATCCCTCTACTGATGATCAAGCCATGAGAGACTCATCACTCTAACACTTGTTAAGGATGTGACCTATGAGTAACTTGTGCATAGGTCTGTACAGACTTCCTATATGCTTGGGTAATCATAACTTTTAAAAAATGAAATTAAAATAGTCTAGACCTTGTGTTGGTGAATATATGTTTGGGCACTATCTTTGATTTTCATTTGGAAGTAACAGAGGTGACTTCCACTCTATTTAAGCTTGAAATCAAGCCACCAGAGCAGAACACCCTGGGGACATAGAATCATAGGGCTGGAAGAGACCTCAGGAGGTCATCGAGTCCAGCCCCCTGCCCAAAGTAGGACCAATCCCAACTAAATCAACCCAGCCAGGGCTGTGTCAAGCTGAGACTTAAAAACCTCTAGGAATGGAGATTCCACCACCTCCCTAGGTAACCCATTCCAGTACTTTACCACACTCCTAGGATGTGTCTAGACTACATGCCTCTGGCGACAGAGGCATTTAGATTGGGCTACCCGGCATAGGGAAATTAAGCGGCGATTTAAATAATCGCCACTTCATTTACATTTAAATGGCTGCCGCGCTGAGCCGATCAGCTGTTTGTCGGCTCAGTGCGCTAGTCTGGACGCTCCACGGTTGACATCAAAGGCATTTGTCGACCTCCCTTTCATGTTGACCGCGGAGTGGTCAGACTACCATGCTGAGCCGACAAACAGCTGATTGGCATGGCACGGCACGGCACGGCACGGCACCCACTTAAATTTAAATGAAGTGGCGATTATTTAAATTGCCGCTTCATTTCCCTATGCCGAGTAAACAAATCTACAAGCCTCTGTCACCAGAGGCAAGTAGTCTAGACATACCCCTAGTGAAATAGTTTTTCCTAATATCCAACCTAGACCTCCCCCCAAAGTAACTTGAGATCACTGCTCCTTGTTCTGCCATCAGTCACAACTGAGAACAGCCTCTCTCCGTCCTCTTTGGAACCTCTCTTCAGAAAGTTGAATGCTGCTATCAAATCCCCCCTCAGTCTTCTCTTCTGCAGACTACATAAGCCCAAATCCCTCAGCTTCTCCTCACAGGTCAAGTGCTTCAGCCCCCTAATCATCTTGATTGGCCTCTGCTGGACCCTCTCCAATGTGTCCACATCCTTTCTGTAGTGGGGGGCCCAGAATTGGACACAATACTCCAGATGTGGCCTCACTACCATATTACAAAATTCACTTTAAAGAAAAGGCTATATGTTGCTGTGGACTGAAAACTATGCCAACAAGAGTTAAAAAAGAAAAGGGATGCTAGATCTGAAGTTTTGACTGAAAAACTGACGTCTCCTCATACAAGACAATGGGAGACCGAATACAACAAAAAATAAATGGGAGTACATAAAAAAGAATAGACAAAATAGGCAGATTCTCAACAGCAGTAAAACACAAGAAAACTAGTGGCTATGCTTATTTACATCAGTAGAGTAGAGGGCCTGGCCCAGAATGTGTTAAATAATCTGATATTTCACAGTTGATAGTATACAGCAAAAAGACAGGAACAAAACCCCAACTCTACTCAATACCAAAACACAGCATTATAAAAGTCTCTACTTACCTTAATTTTCAATGGATTGATCTCCATATCTGAAGTGCAGTTCATGGGTCCATCAATTTCATATTGCATAATATACAGCAGGGTGTTGTTGTTGTATTTGTAAGGCCACTGAAGATTCAGCATCACTTTGCTGAAAGCACTTGGACCATTGTTTCTCAGCTAGTGAGGAAAAGAAAACTAATGACTGAATAAGACCATCTTCTTTCTTATGTTAACAGCCCAGCAACACGAATATAAGAAGCATTAAGAATGTTAATGTGTAGATGACTGCACAATTAACCAATAAGCATGGGCTTATCGGTTAATCCTGTCAACTACATGCATTGCCCTCCCCTGCCTGCTACCTCTATATCAGAGGCAGCAGGGAGGGGGAAGAGGAGGGAGGGAAGAGGCAGGAATCGGTGCTGCAGGGAACCAACTTAAAAGCCTGGGCCCGCCACGGACAGAGGTTGTTCCGTGGCAGCAGCCCCTGTTTGTGGGAGGTCCGAGCTTCCTGTGGACAGGGACTGCTGCAGTGGAACAGCCTCTGTCCGTGGGAAGCTGGGACCCCAAAGGACAGGGGCTGCTTCCACCCTCTACTGCTGTCTCTGTATCAGAGGCAGCAGTGCCGTGTGGCAGACAGAGCCAGTCTGTGTGGGGAGCTGGTTTTTAAACTAACTCCCCTCACGGACCGGCTCTCGCCTTCCACCATGTGCTGCTGCCTCTAAATAATTGTGTAGCTGCTAAAATTTGATGTGGTTACATGACTATTCAATTACACGCTAACTAACATCCCTAAGAAGCATCTATAAGTTTTCCCCTCCCTGAAAGTACAGTATCAGCAACGATACTATCGAAAGAACCTCAATTTTATTTAGCAAGAAGCTAATTTATAATTACTTGGAATAATTTGCTGGAAAGGAGAGATTCTTCAGAACAAACTTAAAGGGAAGATATTTTTCTGCTTTCAAAAAGTGAGAGATGCCCTATGTTTCTTATCCAACATTGTACATACATTGTGGACTTCTCAGATATATGATAAGAATAATTTATTTAGATAAAGTGGTACCATATTGGTTGTATAATAACTTGAATTATCCTCAGAAAGCTCTCTACAAAAAATTTTCTTTACAAAATTAATTGAACAGAGATGAAATCTGTGATAGTTGCTTAAAAAAAGAGCTCTGAAAAGACTCTAATTTTCAAGGCAAATGACTTCTTTAGTAATGACTCTGCATAATTAGAGTACATCTGAGTGTCCAGAATAATTAACACAACGACTAGTCATTTACTGATTTCACTGCTGCAAGATTCAGGATACCAGATAATCTGTGTAGTTTTCTAAAGGACTGGATGATTTTATGGTCAATAACACACAGATGTGTCAAATAGCATAGCAGCGTATGATTCAGGCATAAGTGAAATGCTGTAAGGATCAGAGAGGAATTCCTTCTCTCTCCCACTAACTGCAATGTATAGCACTGCACAAGTGGCTGTATTAATTGCTAGGCATTTCTGCCTTCCTCAATAGCTTGGGCCAATGGATTGACTCAATGCAGAAAATTCTAAGTTCCTATTGAGCAACCAGATGGAGTAAGGCATTAACTGCATATTTACCATATAGGAAATCTTAACTAAAATATTTCTTACTTTCCAATTGTAATGTATTGGTTAGAACCCTGGACCTCAATCCCGTAACAGTGACATACCTCATAGATGTGCTGAACTAGAGGACCGATGTCTTCTTCTGTCTCTGGATTCTCCTTAGGTTGCCAGTTTGCAATGGGGAGGAAGATGTGATCAGGAGATGAGACACTACATAGTGAAGGGAATAAGCAGTAACTATCAAATAGGTAGCCTAATAAACTATTAGTTCCTAAAAAGGGACCCTAAGGCTTTCATAATGCAGAATCAAGCAAACTAAAATGTACAAATATCTAATAACTGACACTAATTGACACTGACCTTTCTATCTGAAATACTGGCAAGATGGAATGAGCAGAAATGATGTTTGCTGTATTAAATGCTTGATCTTTTGCTCAATATACCATTAATAATTTTCTCTCAAGGGGATTTTTCTTCATATTCTTCTAGTTTGGGATCATTGCATAAAATAAAATTATAAAGTTTACATGTGTTAGCTGGACAACCTTCTATGCTGAAGGATTCAACTATGAGCAGCGTTGATCATAGAAGTACCTGATTGGTAGGGTCCTACATAGAACTTAGGCAGCTCCTGGCCCATTTGGGGTTTTTACTAATTCTTCTTCTTTTTTAAATATGAAGGTTTAATAGCACCAGGGCCTCGAGAAATTTGTTAATGTAGCAGATTTCTAACAGGAAGGAAAAAATTAATGAAACTGGTGCCTCACAGGCAATTTTTACTTTTCCTCTAATGATTGTGAGCAATATTCGTGTTCCAGCAGGAGAAAAATTAACCTCCTCACCGAACACCTTGAGGATTCTTTAGAGGTGTAAGTGCTTCTCCAAAAACACTCTTTGTAAAATAAATATATAAATAAAAAGCTATTCAGGAAAATGAAAATATGAATATGAGAGGCATCCTGAATTGACTGGTTGATCAGAAGGACCATTTAATTGTCAGACGAGCGTGGCTTTCAATAAATAGCAGTAGGAGAAAGTCCTCACAACCTGCCAGCTACTATGCCTAAGGCTGAAAGGGATAAGCTACTCTAAACCTATAATTGGAGAGTTTTTTTATATACTAAAAAAAAGTTCTGCCGGATTTGGATTCAAAGTGTGTTTTCTTAGTCTGAGCTGAAAATGATTTTTTGGAAGAAATTTTTACATGCTGTTCTTTGAATGCATTCTAAAGATGAAGGGTAGCACTTTCCACCGACTTAAGTGACCTAGGAACCCAAGTCCCATTTTCAAAACTGACTTAGGATTCCAAATTGCTTAACTTGCCCTTAAAGCCCTTAAGATGATGACATAAATCCATGTTTTGTTTTCTATAGCAAACCCTTCAAGGCTCAATAAGAAGCAAGACTTGCAGGCTTACAAGGAGGTTTACAAAAAACAAAAACAAAAATCACACACATCTAAGTACGAGACACTTGCTAAATCACTATCAACACTCACCCTCTAATTTCAACAGATGCTAAGATGGCAAGGTCAGCCTGGTAAGACGTTATTGGGCTTACATTGTCAAACAGATTGGAACTGAAAAAGAAGATAAGTCCATTTGTTAAATGGAATGAACAAGATTCTTTTTTAAAGCCTTAAGCATGTATTACGTAACATTATTATGCAACTTCTGTGTTATAGGGGAAATAGGAGAGGTACAGGTTGAACCTCTCTAGTCTGGCGCTCTCTGGTACAGCAACATCCATGGTCCGGCATGTGTAGCTGAAGTTGAAGTACTTTAACTCGACTTTTGATGCAGTCCACCCTGCAGGAAGTCAAAGGGAGAACACTCTCCCTTCAACTTCCCTTACTCCTCATGGAAGCAGGACTACCGACACTGACCAGAGAACCCCTTTCTGTTTGAATTAGCTGTCTTAACTAGACCCACTAATTCAAACCCTGGAAGACTGACATACCCTAACAGATATACAGGCAGTCCCCGGGTTACGTACAAGATAGGGACTGTAGGTTTGTTCTTAAGTTGAATTTGTATGTAAGTCGGAACTGGTACATATTGTAGGGGAAACTCTAGCCAAACATTTCTCCAGAGCTCAGTCTTATTCTTCCACACCTCACTTCCCTCAGTCTTTTATTCTCAAGCTGAGGTGTCTACTGAGAAAAGCCGCTCCGCGTCTCCCTGGTCTGCTGAGGGTGGGTGCTAGCTTTGCGTCTCCCTGGTCTGCTGGGGGGAAGCAGCTAGTGCAGGGTTGCCTCACCCCGTTTGTAAGTAGGGATCTGATGTAAGTC